TTCAACGGAATCGTGATCGCTTCGGCTGTTGACAGTAAGCGATGCTTGACTTGCTTCGATCTCACTCCGGTAATCGTGTAGATGGGCCTGACCGTTTCACTCATTCTGACACGATGCTCGGTTTCGACTAAATGAGCCGTAATCGCCTCCTCCGGGTCTTGTCAATCCGCGACTAAGCCAGCTGGGGTGGTGTTCTCGAATGCGTTCGGCCAAGCGNNNAAGCGGCGGGTATTACGACCAATGTAAGTGGTTCCACAGGAACACACGAATTGGTAAATGCAGAATGAGGTCATTTCCACCGATAGCTTGTCTTTCATCTGCAATGAGAGAACTGGTTTGGAAGGGTAAATGAGTTTGGAAACGCTTACTTATCATTTCAGATAATGTGTCACCTCTGAAGGGATTGGAAACGTGAACTGGTTTCTTCTTAGCACGAAATACATCCATATGTCATGCTATTCACCGAAAAAGTTAGGAGAAACCCCAATAGTCTTACCGCATAACGCATTTCACTCGCTTGAAGTTTTACTAACCCCGACGGTTTAGGATACCTAACCACCAATGGTCCTTTGTGTACGTTTCTGTAGGCTATCTAGGTCCTGTCGGCGTAAATTAAGACAGAACTGAGTCACGTGGACACCCCATATCTTTCAATCTAACGTGTATTCTTTGGGCTCCTTGTTATTTGAAGTTGCGTTTCTACACACTGAACCGCATTCCCAGCTTTGGGTGAAATCAGTTCACTGGTTTGTCTGATTGTCGACGTTCGAACCACATGATTTTCTCGAATATATTGTTCGTCACAGACTGTTGTTGCACGTGTTTGTAACCGATGAATCGAGCATCACTCGACAGTAAGATGATTTACTCGCACCTCATTATCATTATGATAATCTTGGGGTATCTACTCCCGAGGTAATCAGTCGCTCTGAAAACGCATTAGATCGCTTTAGATCCCATGCAGCTTCACCACCACAAACGTCTACTTCGGAAACGTGATATCACAAGCGTGACACACACACAGGATGCCGAATCTCACAGTATCTCTCGGCGCATGACTCACACAATTAACGGACGTGGTAGCCTGTGTAGACTTTCGTCAAACTACGCGATGTGGATTCTGCTAGTTCACGTTATAGTCACATCTGATCTCCCTTGATCCTTCCATCTGTCTTTTGGACATGGACCTTAGTTTGTGTTGTGTGGACTGTTCCGAAACCACTCTTGGTGATAAATCCGTATTGTGAATAAAGCTGAAATACTTCAAACGAGCGTTTTTTAACTCTTATCGGAATATCTCCTCTGTTAATGACTACAAACGCCATTCCATAGCTCGAAATACTTTGAAACCTGTATCGGACTCGTCACTTGCAGGTTTCCCAAGTCGAACGCAGTTTGGTCGTCAAGTTTAGTTATCTTTCGAGAACAGTCCCGTGTACGCAATAAGCTGTTTGTAATCAGTGGTAGTTGTCGTGATTGGTGGTTTCTAAAATCTAGCGCGTCATGTAATGTTGTTAAGTCCAAGACAGACTTGTGTCGCCTTCCAGTGATCGTGTCTACCAGTGGATCGAACCGAATGAAACAGAGTTTCATGTGGTACACCGTTATCATAAATTATTTTTCTGTTCCTATATTGTACGGTTGATCTGCGAAGAGCCGAATAACCGTCATCTTACTAGTCGTTAGAATACCGCGCTACCATGAGTCGTGTGTATATGAGTAACTCCAGTGTGCTGAGATTTCTTTCCAAACGGCGTTCGCATTGCGTGATCACGGAACTCCGTCTTACTGCTTTTTGAATATGTCGACGAAAATGCTGCTTATAGATGTTTTCAACCATTAGTGCACACCTTTCAATATCAGGCATTACAGGAAGCTGCGGATTTTCTCTAATAATAGGACGAATAAGTGAACCCCGTTGCCAAGGTAATCTGTTCCGTCTTGTGAACGAGACCACTGACATCTGGGGCTTGTATTCGTTAACCCCACAAGGTTTCAATACGATGATGGTTTCGTTGAACCAATAATTATAACGTCCAAAAATTTGACCTAATATTCCTTTTATCGCTTCATATCTATTTGAAAACTGCCAGTTGATAGACCGGTCAACTTTCACGAACCCTCGTCTAATGGACGGACTTTTCTCGCTGTTGACGTGCCCCGTAATGTTTCGCTTTTCAGGACGCACTTCGTCTAGCTGATCCATCTACTGATGTGAATGAGTTTCGCAAACGTTCACATGCTGAAACTGTATCCAACGAGACCACGAATTCCGGAAAGGACTCTATTAATCAACCACACGACGCAACTCACGAACCTAATTCAACCGGTGGTACGGTTGGTCGATCACAGCAACGTTTACTTGAATTACCCGGAGAGAGAAGTATGCTGCAGCATCTCTTATCTCGGCGAGGTGGACCTGTAAATAATCATGGTATACAACCTTCAAACGGCAAGTCAACTTTGGGTGAGTTCTGATTATCTTTTTTTTCGAATCACCATGTTATTTTTACGCTAAAGGTCCATCTGTAAAATTAAATCGCTTCCCCCGTTTGTCCCCGTCAAATCATTACCCCTAAGTGGTGTTATCGTTCTTCATTGGAGACTGCAATTGCAATTGTCACTGAACAGCATGCGTAGCAATCAAACTCTCCTTTGTTAAGTTCTTCCCTGCGTCAAGCTTCCTGGATTGGGATAATCGTAGCTGGGGGTTAGAAACACTAAGTGATATTGTCACAAACAATGGTGCTCCTGTATCTACTCATTCTTCTTGCAACCTTCGTCTATGTGAATTCTTATCTTCCCTTTTACTCTGCTCTCAACATTCCAATCTTTCTTCCCGCTCCTTTATCTAAATGGGCAATTATGAGACAGCAATCAAAACCGGCCCACGAAAATGCATGGTTAATGGTTATAAAACTGTACTGAATATATATATATATATATATATATATATATATATATATATCAAGGAGGATTGCTCGTAGATTTTCGTGGGGATAAGATGCAAACCATTGTAAGGTAATATCACTTTATCCACCCGTTTATACTCGAGGGTGCTCCTAATCACTTTATACCTAGGTACGTGACATCTGAAATATTCCAGGCGAACCGCTTGTTTGTTGTGCGTTTCGTTAGTTCCTTCCGAAGTTCCGGGGGAATGGAACACAACAGACTTAGTGACAGTATGCAGCGTTTGGTCGTGATCTTCACGTAGTAGTGGTCCACAGATTGATGCAGTCTTTTATGGTGGAGAGTTCTAACGAGGCAAATCATCATTCCGTCCGGTGCTCATCCATAAACGGTTATTTTGTGGGCGTAAACTCATTGTATTCACAACAATCGTTCTCCCTGGCGCGTAATTAGCAATCATTATGATACATTTTCAGTCGGTATATCTGTAATTGAAGTAGGTTGTCAAACTTTCTGAGTATGAAGATATTTACAGTACGATTGTAAATCTCTTTTGCACTGTTGGTGTGCTCTGTTCGGTGAAGTGCTACGTCTCGTTCGACCGTGCCTCAATCGAATATTTTGCCACGTTTCATTGAATTCAATCAGCCACCAACTGACGGATGGTATGTGCATTCATCTGGATTTGTTCTTTTGTTTTCCGCCAATCCTCATACCCTCCTCCCGTCTGCACACACGCACAGATCGGTCTCCTGTGCGCTCAGTCTGGTCATCCGGATTGCGTGCCGATGATTTCAGTCTCCGTGGTCATTTGCGTGAGTGTCTGACACGCGAGTGTCTGTTCGAGCATTTGGATCTGCTGGCGAAAGATGTGCAAAAGGAACGTCGTACAAAACAAGGTTAGTGCCAGTTCTCACATTCAGTTTCTCCCAAACACGGTCGTGCATGTTATTGCTATTTGAAGAGACGATGTTTCCTTACTCTCTCTCGCTCTCTTAGTTTGAAGTATTGACTATTTTCAAGTTTCATCAACATGTAATGCAATTCACGGGCAGTGAAAAAAATCATTGACATTTTTGTGCCACGAAATCGGTTTATTTTTATCCAAAAGCTCTCATTCATTGGCCACTTCCCTATCCATGTTCGTTGGAAATTGGTGATCCCTCGGTGTGTGTGCGTGTGTATGTGATTTATTAACCAAACAGACATCTGATAAGTATTTATCGGGATCAAATTTCTGTATATTAACATGTTTACTACCCATGAACTTCAGGATTGGTTCTAACCCCACTGTCTTGTGCCTAATATCAGCATGTGTGTATGTTCCCTCCAGTCTCAAAAGCGGGTCCCGTTATCCTCTTTTGATAAAAATTTCCCTTTGATCTGTTGTTATCAACAGTCATAGTCGTGCTTAAATTTGACTCTGTTAAATACCTTGGTGTCACTCTCACTCCTAACCTTCCCCCGTCTGCTCACTTTTATAACGTTCTCGCGAAACTAGAAAATCACCGGTCGTTTCGTAAAACAATCCATATTCTTGAAGTTGCTACCGTTTACATCCTTTCACACCGGTTGTACTACTCTCCTTTTTCTCTCCTTGGTTGAAGAGAAAAAATTTCACCTTGTGTTCCAGGTTTTACCTTACCCTTTGTCCCGATATGGTAGCACTGATAGAACTGTTCTGTTTGGGATTTTGGCTCCGAGTCGTTCACCGAATCTAGTAGGTCTTCTTACAGGATAACTCAAGATGAAGAGCGCTGTCTCGATTCCCCTGATGCGTTCAGAATTCCAACTTTTGTAAGCATGTACATTCACTTGTAGTGGCAGTGTCATTTCGTCCCTTACCCAGATAGTCGCACCATGATTCCAATTTTTTCTGGCAATTCACTCTTCAGGTGCCTAAAGTCTTCATTGACTTAGTTTGGCTTACCAAACAACTATTTTCTCCAAGCAATCAATGGTACGATCCCAACGGATTGTTAAACAGCTGCAATTTCATTTATCCTCTCCATTAATAAATTTCAAATCCCTCCAACGTTACTCAGGCTAGGTTAGTTGTTCGCAACATGCTTACCAGGATGGATTAAGTTGCTTTTTCTACAGACAAAGGAAAACAGCCTGATGTGCTATCCCGTTGCCAAGTGACTAGTGTGCATACATTCCACCTAGGAGTCCCAGGTTCGGGTACCCATTGGATCCAGGAATCCGCATTGCTAGTAGGAGCCACCAACGTCAAAACAGCTGTACAGTGCTTCCTTTAGTGATTATATGACAAGCTATTTGTTTTAATCCTCCACCTGCATTTTGCCTGTTCTGTCCTGTGCCTTACAACCTGTGAATTCCCCCCCCCCTCCAAAAAGGTCCACTGATGTGAACCTAGGTAACCTAGCAGTGTCGCGACCATGAGTAAATCATGGAATTTTGCTTTATCATAAATATTATTGTACCATCGTTTGAAACGCAGTCATTACATATATATATATATATATATATCACAATAAGTAGTGCTTTAGCAAGTAGTATATATATACCCGGCTTGCGAACAAGGATGATGCCAGTGCAATAACAATCATAAAACTGAACAGAGGGGTTGGGATACAAAAGCAAAGTGAAAAGAGGCTCAAACAATTACAGTGAATAACAAGGATAACTTTTTGTTTTCACCGCACCGTTCTTCTAAGTTACAATTATTTTTTCCTCCAATAACACCGAAACTCCTTTTAATGACTTCCTATCCAGTTTACAGCCTTAGATCCATCTCTCATCATGAGTATGTCTTTTCTTGGTTCGACTTGACTATCATTATCGCTACATGCAAAATCAACAGTTAGAAGTTTCTAGCATGAATTTTTCCATAATTCTATCGCGTTGAATAGATTCTGAGGTAACAGAGCTAACTAGCGTACTATAAGCCCTTTCATGCAATTCATGTGCTTATGCAAACTGCATGCTTTTACAAGGCCCCCTTCACTTTATGTTCCTGAATTTTCGGATCTGATGTTAGTCCAGTTTACCTCGAGTACGTATGTGCCCATATAACTGTTTGTTTCGGTTTGTTTTTCTCGGATGTCATTGCTGTGCGCAGATTTGAACTGGCAGCAAGCCATTTTATAAAAAATCGTTTTATTAGGTTGTCCAGGTTGTAGTTTTAATCAATATCGACAGCGGAGAAAGCAACACACCCTCCCCGGTAGTCGCAACTCAATTTCGGAAAATGTGAATGATTCAGGGTCCCTGGGTCTTTCGAGAGAGAGAGAGACACGTAAATCTGCTGTTGTTTGTTCACCGCACGAGAGTCGTGATTACTGAAAATAAATCGTTCTTGACCGGTAGTATACCTTTTTGATCATTTGACGGATTTAGCTGCGATTGGACCGCGTAAGGAAACCCTCTCTTTCGCTGGATATAAAAACAGAATATCAATTACTGTATTTCAGGGCCCAAACGGATAGCTGTGCTTCGGTTAATTAATCTTAGTGAAAAGTATTTTGTCTGACAAATGTTTTCAGGCTCTTCCGGATTCGGACGTAATTGCGAGTATTAACACCCTCTAGGACATAATCTGCTTTTTCTGAAAATCTTGATCTATTTGAACATTTTCATCATCGTGATCGAAATGCAACGTAGGTTTATCATTTCACTTACTCTCACACAAATCCTATCCCTCCTTGATCAACGTCAACTCGAAATCGACTCATATCAGTCTGACTGTGTCAATAATTCAACATCTGATTCCAAGTTCAGTTTGATTTGTTACTTCGATCAGGAAGTGTTACGATTCGTATCCGGATGTGTCGTTCCCAGTTTTAATGTGTACCTTATCTGCATCTGATTGTGTTTTTGTATCCACATATCTTTTTTTTGTTAGCTCTGTGGGCTTAGTGGGTGAATCAGTCATGCTGCTCGTTCGTTTTCCCTTCACAATCATAGGCGCAACTTGAATAGCTGAAGAGTAGACACATTGTGACATTCCAAATCGAAATTCTTCTTCGTTGAATCGAGACATTGCGGATGATTGCTCGATAAGGGGATAGGATACCGGACACAGCTGCTGAACAGAATAAAACCGCTCTCTTTTTTTCTGAATATCATGTTAAACTCAAAGGAACAGATACACATTTGAGCTTTGAAACCAGAAATCACACATGTTTAACTATCATAACAAACCCTGCAGCAGTATATCTCATGCCATACATCTGGGTTCGGCTAGATTGCAATTTTCTGAGCTGACGAGCCTCATCTTCAGCTTATCTAGCTGCGGGGGGGAGGTAGTGGCGTATTCAAACGAACAGTGTAACCAGTTGCTAACCGTTTTAACGGTTTTCTGATCCACTTTTATGTGTTGTACTTTTATTCGTTCCTTGCCATGTGTTGGTTCTTTGGCACCGTCATTAATTGCGACTCAAATCCTTTTAGATGTTGGTGGTCAAGAAGTGTTTTCTATCACACCCGAGGTGAATTACGGGACCCCACAGTCAGTCTAAATCGATATCATTTACCTCATACCATTGATAACAAATAAGTGTGAGTTCAACGCGAATTAAAAGAAATGCTGAGTGTGAGGGAACATTCACGTGACTGTAGATTTATTGATCTGGAAGACTGCAAGTGGATGAAGAGAGAGAGAGATTGTGGCAGTTCCATAATCTACCGGTTAGGAGAAGAATAGATTTAAACAGAAAAACATGACATCTGATAGCGAAAGCCTGAAATGAATGACTAGCCGCTTGTATACGGGTTGGACACGCATTAGGTATGGAAGCAGAAACTGCTGAGAAAAGCTCCGAAGAACCAA